CCTTCCCCCCGTCCCCCTGGCTCTTCCCCCCCACCCCGCCTTCGTAGCGAGGCCTCGGGAGGCTTCAGCCGCCTGGGCCTTGCTGTCCCCCCGCCGCTGCCGCCCTGCTCCCCGGCGGTTTCCTCCCCTTTCCCCCTTCCCGCCTCCGTAGCGAGGCCTCGGGAGGCCTCAGCCGCCTGGGCCTCGCTGTCCCCCCCGCCTCCCTGCTCTGCGGCCGCCCGCCCAGCGGCGGCGGCTTTGCCGCTCGCCCTCGCCGGTCAGCCCCCCCGGCTCGCCACTTGCCGCTTGCCTTCCAAGTGGCGGCGGCGTTCGTAGAGCGTTCCGTGCACATGCGCACGGAACGCTCTTGTTGCACTTTCGGGGGGATTTAAACACCCCCCCGAAAGTTTTTTCAAGTTTTAGGATTTTTGTGCACCCCTGGGGACTGCCCCAAGAGTGCACAAAAATCTCCCTTCCCCCCAGGTCGCCTCTGAGCGCAGATTTAGCGATCCGTACTCACGGGGCGACTTGGCTATTAGTATAAGGATGGAAAGAAGGATTTAACATATGTAAATAGTTACATATACAATCATACTTGATCAGGTTTGGATTTAAGAATATCCGCCAAAAAACTGGCTATGACCTCAGTAATCTCCCACTTGGTATCACTCAATAAACGCTGGCAAAAAGAAAGATTAGTTGAATAGTCAGAGAGTAAGGAGAGCTTTCGAAATAGTTCCTTACAGAGATTATCATACTGAGAGCAGTGGAGCAATATATGCTGAATTGAGTCAGGGGTATTCACTCCACAGGAGCAGTTTTTCACTCAGGGGTACTTGATGATATCTCCTCTGTAAGACTTTAGAGGGGAATGCATTTAATATGGCCAGCATAAATGCCCTACAGTAGTTCATAGTAATTAAATCCATTAAATAATGGGGCATCTTATTGCAGTGAATATCGAGACCCAGTGAGGTTGGGGAGCAAGTATAAAGATAAATTGGACATAGTTTAAGTTTCTCCCAGTCTAATAGTCTGTTTAATACAACTACATACGTATATGACTCGTTAGATGTAGAAAGGTCATCAGCTACCATCCCTAATTGGTTGAGTTTGGATGTAAGAGCCACTAACCAACTTGAGGTATAGAGGTCTCTTTTCAGATAAGAAGGCTTTCAGGATCAGTTCTAAAATAATTTTTAAGCCAGAATTTAGCCATCCAAGCCTTCATTTTGACCAGGGACTGACCCACTTCAGAACAAAGAGCAAAATAAGATACGCATTTTGGCATACTGAGAATTTGTCTAAAAAATGAGGCTTGGATGTCCTCCACTTTCTTAGTAAATGCTAAGACCCATATAGGGATACCAAAAGAAATTTTGGTTAGTGTTTTGGCTTTATACACTCTAATTATTGCCAGAGCTAATTGGTTGCCTCTTGATCTGAGAGATTGAACATTTAGCCAAGTTGATAGCCCTATCACGATGCGGCACCCAGCTTAATTTGTGGTTAAAGGCACGGTGTGTGTGTGTGTATGATACAGTACATGAACTGGAGGCCCCTTGGCCATCTCTCTATTTGGTTTTGGGCACCTTCAGTCAGCTCTCCCAGACTGATGTCAACAGATTTCTGGGTGCTGTTAGGCTGACCCACCTGCCTCTTGAATCTGTGCCCCTCAAAGCTGGTGAAGGCCAGCAGCAAGAGGTTATGAGGCCCCCTTGAAGACATCAGTAATCTGTTCCTGGGTTCTGGGACTTCCCTAGGGGGGCTGAAGGAGGCAATGGTTATTTTGCTCTTGAAAAAACCAAACTCAGAGCCTATGGATCTGACCAATTACTGCCCAGTCTTGAATCTTTTGTTTCTGGGCAAGGTAATTGAAAGAGCGGCAGCTGAACAGCGCCAGAGATTTCTGAAGGACATATCAGTGTAGAACCCATTTCAGTCAGGCTTCCACCCTGGCCACGGGATGGAGACGGCACTGGTCGCCCTCACAGATGATCTCCGCAGACAACTGGATTGAGGTGGGTCGGCACTGCTGATATTACTTGATCTTACAGCAGTGTTTGACATCTTCGACTACGATCTACTGACTCACTGCCTTGTCAACACTGGAATCCATGGGACAGCCTTGCAATGGCTCACCTCATTTCTCCATGTTTGGGGACAGAGGGTGGTGCTGGGAGGGACAGTGTCCTCAAGATACCCACATGGGGCACTTCTCTCCCCAATGCTCTTTAATATCTGTATGCGCCCCCTTGCCCAGCTAGTGTGGAGTTTCGGGTTGCGATGCCATCAATGTGCTGATGACACCCAGCTATATCTGTTGATGGGTGACTTAGCTGAGTGTCTGGAGGCCATGGTGAGATGATTAAAACAGAGTTGACTGAAAGTGAATCCAGGAAAGACAGACTTTCTGTGGCTGGGTGGGTGGGGGATCCTTGATTTAGTTACCAGCTGCGGGTATGCCTCCATCACCAGGACAGACCATCAGGAGCCTGGGCATGACTCTGGATTCCTCCTTATCCATGGAAGCCCATGTTGTGAAGGTTGCCAACCTGGCGTTTTTCCAACTTCGCCAGGTTAGGCAGTTGGCTCCTTATTTGTCTCACCCTAACCTAGCCATGGTAATCCATGCAATGGTCACCTCCAGCCTGGACTACTGTAATTCAGTCTACGTGGGCATGCCCTTGCACCTGATCCGGAAGCTCCAGTTGTTCCAAAATGCAGCCACGTGGGTCCTCATGGGGACCCCCTGAACAGCACATATTCAATCAGTGCTGTGTGAGCTGCATTGGCTTCCAGTGGAGCACCGGATCAGGTTCAAGGTTTTGGTTTTGACTTTTAAGGCCCTTAATGGTCAGGGACCTACATATCTTTGGGACAGCCTCTCCCAGTATGCCCCTGGAAGAGCATTACGCTCAGGATTAAGAACTTCCTGGTGGTCCCCGGCCTGAGAGAAGTCCGGCTGTCCTCGACTAGGGCCACGGCTTTCTCAGCCCTGCCCCCTGCTTGGTGGAACCCTCCGCTGGAAGATATCTGTGCCCTGTGGGAGCTGTTACCTTTCCACAGGGCATGCAAGGCAGAGATGTTCTGCCAGGCCTTCAGTTGAGAACAGCGACAGGACTTCTTTTGGCACTCTCAAATAACTCCCCATCCCCCATAACCCCTCTCCCCAGGGAGACTGGGAAGTTAGGGTTTCTCTGCCATCTTATATATTGTATATTTACTGTCTTTACTTGTATTTACTGGACTGTTTTAATTTAGTTTATATTAAGAATGTGTATTACCCTGTTGTAAGCTGCCCTGAGCCCTATTTTTAGGGAAGGGTGGCCTAGTAAATCCAGTTTAATAAATAAATACGTTACAGTACTCAGGGAAGGCCATACATGGATGCTGCTGCCTCAGCGAAAGGCCTGGCAAATGACCTCCACAGGGTGGATCAGGGTGGGTTGGCACTGCTGTTGCTTTTAGATCTAATGGCAGTGTTCAATATGGTCGACTATGACCTGTTGACCCACTGCCTTGCTGACGTAGGAATTTGGGGGATTGCCTTGCAATGGTTTTCCTCCTTTCTCCATAGTTGGGGACAGAGGGTAGCGCTTGGCAAGAGGGTCTCCCCGCAATATCCACTGGGTGGCAATCCTCTCACCGATGTTATTTAACATCTATATGCATCCCCTCACCCAGTTAGTTTGGAGGTATGGGCTGGGTTGTCATCAATATGCAGATGACATCCAGCTCTGTTATTGGACAGCCATCCATCCTCTGCCCCCGATAATTTGGCCGAGGCTTTGGAGGCCATGGCTGGGTGGTTGCGGCAGAACTGGTGGAAGCTTAATCCATTGAAGACAGAGGTCCTGTACCTGAGCTGAGAGGGGGATGGATGTGGGTATTGGGCTCCCCACTCTGGAAGGGGCACCTTTGGTGTCGGCCCAGAAAGTGAGGAACCTGGGGGTATGGAAGCCCAGGTTAACACAGTCATCAAGTCTGCCCTTTTCCATCTTAGGCAGATTAGGTTACTGAGACCTTATCTCTCTCCCCAGGTTTTAGCTACAGTGACCCATGCAATGGTCACTTCCAGGCTTGATTACTGCAATTTGCTCTACACAGGCTTACCCTTAAGGCTAACCTGGGAATTACAGCTGACCCCACTGCTTGCTGACCCCACTGCCTGTGTGGGCTTACATTCAGCAGGTGTTCTGTCAACTGCATTGGCTGTCCATTGAATTCCGGATTCGCTTCAAGGTGTTGGTAATAACCTTTTAAGCCATATGCCGCCTGGGTCCAACATATCTGAGGGACTACCTCTTCCTATATACGCCTCAAAGAGCTTTACACTATAGACCAACATCTCCTGGTGGTCCCTGGCCCAAAGGATGTTTGTCTTGCCTCGACCAGGGCCATGCCTTTTTCCTCGCTGGCCCCTGCCTGGTGGAACATGCTCCCCATTGAGATCAGGGCCTTGCAGGATCTTCTTCAATTCTGCAGGGCCTGTAAGATGAAGCTGTTCTGCCAGGCCTTTGGCTAAGTCAGCGGCCGTCCATGTATGGCCTCCCTGAGGTTCTTGTCACCCATCTATTAACAGCTGACTATTATTCACCCGTTATCAATGGGCCAGGGAATCTCTCACAACCAGCTAACTATATTCTTGGGATGTGACCACCATTTTAATTTATATTATTGTGTTTTAAATCTTTTTTGGTGTTGTGGTTAAGTGCGCAGACTCTTATCTGGGAGAACTGGGTTTGATTCCCAACTCCTCCACTTTCACCTGGCTGGATGACCTTGGGCAAGCCATAACTCTGGCACATCTGTTCTTGAAAAAGAGCAGTTTCTGTCAAGAGTTCTCTCAGCCCCACCTACCTCACAGGGTGTCTGTTGTGGGGAGGGGAAGGGAAAGGAGTTTGTAAGCTGCTCTGAGACACCTTTGGGTAGTGAAGGGTGGGGTATAAATCCAATCTCCCCCTCTTCCTCTTCTTCTTCTTCTATTTGAAATGCTGTTACCTACCCTAAATAAATTTGGGTAGATCTGAAAACAGTGGAGAGGCAGGAGCAGATTGCTCCCACCTTTCAGCTGTTTGTCAGGCAGACTTATGCAGTCCCTTTAAACTTTAAAGGGACTGCAGAAGTCGGCCTGAGGATCAGCCGGGATGGCAGGGAGCTGTGAGCTACCCACCACCTTGGCTGTGGCTGGCTTCTCCGTAAACCAGGCTGCAAGAGAAGCCAGCCCAAAATCAGCTGGGTCGGTGGGGATTTAAGAGCTCCCAGCTGACACAGCTCTGTGCTGCCTTCTCCTGCTGCTCGGTTTAAACCATGCTACAAGAGAAGCCAAACCAGCCCCAGGATCAGGCTGGTATTTTTTTAACAGCATTTTCCAGTTTGGGTCTATTGGTCTCCCCCCCCCCCCCAATTGGGATTTCCAAAAAACCCTGGATCCACATTTTGGGGGGTTTCCCGT